TATAGTTCTATCTTTTTAATGAAATTTCTCAGTGAGTTCATCCATTTTTCTCTCCAGTTTAGTGATCATCTTTATGACTATTTGAACTCTGTATCAGGTAGATTAATTCCTTTTCATTTACTTCTTTTTCTGAAATTTTGTCTTATTCTTTCACTCAGAACATATTCCTCTGTCTCCTCGGTTTGTCTGTCTGTCTGTTTTTATACATTGGGTAGGTCAGCTACATCTCCCTGTCTTGAAGGTAGTGGCCTTATGAAGAAAGTATCTTGTGGGACCCAGAAAGATAAGCTCCCCAGTCACTAGAAACAGGTAGTTCAGGCGTGTCCTCTGTGTGGGCTGCATGCGCCCTCCTGCTGTGACTAGGCCATGAGTGCTGGGGGCATGCTGGTGGGTGGGGCTGGCTCCAATGCCTAGCTGTTATAACTGTGGGCACACTGCAGGGATGGAGCTGGCCTCAGCCCAACTGGTGAAGAGGTCTGGCTGTGGCTGCTGCAGACATGCTGGTGGGAGCAGTTAGCCTCCAGGGTGGCTGGCTGCAAGGCCTAGCCACAACTGTTGCAGGCATGCTAGTAGGCAGGGCTGGCCCCCATTTCATGGGGCACAAGTCACTTTGGAGTAGTGCCTGTCCCAGCCAAGGCTTCCCACTGGGTGGGGGAGGTGGGTAGAAGCTGCTTTGGGAGGGGAACTGGTCCAGACAGAGGCTGTCTGCCAGGTTGTGGTGGGGTAGGAGCCATTTGGAAGGGTGCCTACAGGGGTAGGCCAGTCTGCAGAGGAACATGAAATGGAGTGAATGGTTGCTACTGAGGTTGATGGGAGAATGTCACAACAAGCCAGTATCGGGTCAGCTAAAGGAGGGCAACAGTACTCTGTTCCAGGAGAAACTTCCTACAAGCCCTGCCCCTCTGGCACATGCCCTAATATTAGCCAATCTCCTTCATGCATGTTCCAGGCACTTTTCAAACTGCTACCTCTGTTCTGGGTCTCCAAGCGAGTGAAACTGTTCAGAGGCCCATTAAAAATCCCAGTGTGGATACCCCCAGGGCAGGGGGTGCCCAATATGGGGCTTGAACCCCCTCACTTCTCAGGGAGGGCCTCTGTACCTTGATATCCCTCCCACTTGTGCATTATTGTGCTGGGGGTTCATTTCCCAATCTGACCATGTCTCTGCCCCTCCTATCCTTCTTAACATCACTTTTTAAAATATCTTTAGTTGTGTAAGAGCTGTTCTGCTAGTCTTCAGGTCTTTCTCAGAGAGTTGCTTTATATGTATTTCCAGCCTTGGTATATCCATGGGAGGTGAGCTCAGGATCTTCCTACTCCACTATTTTCTCATGAGTCTATCTTTAGCTTTTAACATTTTAATTATAATGTGTGTTGGCATGGATCTCTTTGGGTTCACCTTTTATTTGGAACTCCCTGGGCTTCCTGGATCTGTATGGCTGTTTCCCTCCCCAGGTTAAGAAACTTTTCAGCCACTCAGATGGTTAAGCGTCTGCCTTTGGCTCGGGTCATGATCCCAGGGTCCTGGAATCGAGTCCCACATCGGGCTCCCTGCTCAGTGGGGGGGCCTGCTTCTCCCTCTGCCTCTCTCTCTCTCTGTCTCTCATGAATAATAAATAAAATCTTTAAAAAGAAAAAAAAAGAAACTTTTCAGCCACTATTTCTTCAAGTAAGTTTTTGTCCCTTCTGCTCTTCCCCTTCTGCAGCTCCTATAATGTGACTATCATTCAGCTGTGAATGTTACTGATGTTGTCCCATAGGTCCCTTAAGTTATCTTCGTTTAAAAAACCTTTTTTTTTTTTTCCTTTCTGCTGCTGTTTGGGTTAGTTCTACGGCCCTGTCTGCCAGGTCACTGATCTGTTCTTCTGCTTCATCTTGTCTGTTGTTGATTCTCTCTAGCATATTTTTCTAGTTCGGTTATTGTATTCTTCAGCTCTGTGACTTCCATTTGGTATTTTCTTATATTTTCTCTTTGTTGAAACTGTCTTCATCCATTCTTCTCCCAAGATCAATGAGCATCTTTACAACTATTACTTTGAATTCTTTGTCAGGTAAATTACTTATCTCCATTAAGGTTTTTTCCTCTAGAATTTTATCTTATTCTTCCATTTGGAACATATTTCTGTTTCCTCGTTTTGCCTAATTCTCTGTTTGTTTCTGTGTATTAGGCAAAATAGTGATCTCTCCTAGTACTGAAGGAATGGCCATAGGAAAACAGAGTTTGTTTCAGTCAGCTGTCTGTGTAGTGCCCTGGGGGTAGCAGCTTGCCACAACCGACTCCAACTGTTTCAGTCCCATGAGGCCCAGAAATGTAAGGCTCACTATCCACCAGAGCCAGACATACAAGCCCTATGTGAAATATATGCATTTCCTGGCTTTAGCAGGGTCAGAGGGGAGCACCAGCCCATGAAGAGCCAACCCATCCAGTTTGGCAGTGTGGGACTATGGAAGTGCAGAGAAGCAAGGCAAGCAGCACTAGCAAGGTAGAAGTACTGCAAAAATGGTGCCTCCCAGCACCTGTCTTCTGAGAGAGATCCAATTGACCCCTGTCCCTCTGGCAGACACTTTAAACTTAGGCAATTAATCTCCTTCACATATGGGCTTTTCAACTTGCTCCTTTTGTACTAGATTCCAGGACAGGTGAGTCACTATTCATGTGCCCTTTAAGAGTAGAGTCTTACTTTCCTACAACTTTTTGGGTATCCTTGACATGAAACCCACTGATTTCCAAAGACAGATGTTTTGGGGGCTCATCTCTCCAGGGCAGGTCCCAAAAGTTGGGGTGCCTGATGTGGCTCGCTCCTCAGAGATATGCTCCATATTTGTGAGAGCACTCCCGCTGGTGGATTACAGCACCAGGAAGGGTTTTTGGTGAGTCCATGACTCTGCTCACCTATCTATCTCAATGTGGCCTTTTTGTCCTTCGTTGTGAAGGAGCTGTTCAGCTAGTTTTCACACCTTTTGTAGAGAAAACTGTTCTATGTGTAGCTGTAAATTTGGTTTGTCCATGGGAGAAGGGGAGCTCTGGGTCTTCCTATGCCACCATCTTGAATCACCAATGTCCACTTCTAAGAGTTGCAGGCAGGAAGTGGGTTAAGGTACAAAAGTGTGTTAAGGGTTTCCACCCTTTTTCTCACATGAAAGCAATTTTGAAAAGGAAAAATCTGCCTTTGACATTCTTCCACTTTCTCATGGTAACATCCACACTCCTAGAGTGCTTCTTTCCTGGGCCTGTGTGTTGACCTAAGATACCTACAACATTCCAACCATGTACTTCATGCCCCAAAACTGTCTCCTACAGACTCCTCACGAACACCCTTTGCTCTGCCAACTCTTAAATTCATTGTACCCAGCTTTCCATTCTCATGACTCTCCTCTTATCACTCAACACACTTTCCCTGGGCTGCCTTGTAATCTCAATCCTTCTCACAATCCCTCTCTCTCTAACTCCACCCCCATTGCCCCTAGCCTGGATCTGTCCTCTGGGCTATATACTTGTATATCCAACCACCTACTAGATACCTGGATGTCCCACAGTCATATCCAACTTTTAATTCATCACCCCCCACCTTCCTTTGTTCTCCTCAAACCTGTTCCTCACCATCAGCTTGTATCCTTTTCTCCCTGGATAGCACCATCAGGTACTGAGATGCTCAAGCCAGAAACTGGAAGTCATCAAGGCTTCCCAAACCACTGTCACAATCCATTGATTACTAAATCCCACAGATTCAGTCTTCTCAAAATCTCTTAAAACTGCATTCTCCTTTTTATTCTCTCTGCCTCCATTTTAGCAACTGCTCCCATCATGTTATTCATGACCCAGATTAAAGCAACAGGTTCTCAAGCTTTTTCCACACCCATCAGCAAATAATTTATTCTCCAGAGATAGGAAGCCATGTGATGACAAGAAAATCAGATCCCATTATCCTTCCTACCTTTAAAAACTCATCATTAAAGTACCAGGGCCTTCAGGGTAAAGACCAAAATCCTTCAGAAGGCTCAGAAGTAGGCTGTTCTCTCACTTCTCTCCCTATCCTATGCACGTTCTAGTCATGCCATCTACTTGCAAATACCCAAACAATCCACTTTGCTCACAGGTTGGTTTGTTTGTTTTCACAAGATGCTTTCTTCTACTTAGAATATATCCTAATCCTTATAGCTAATATTTAAGAATTTAAGATATAGTGGGGTATCTGGGTGGCTCAGTCGGTTAAGTATCCCACTCTTGATTTCTGCTCAGGTCATGATCTCAGTCAGGGACACGAGATCAAGAGCTCTATTGGGTTCTACTTGGGATTCTCTCTCTCTCCTTCTGCCCCTCTCCCACCTTCCACTCATGAGTGCGCTCTCAAAAAAAAAAAAATTAAGATGTATCAAAAGCATGCCTTCTATATTAAATAGCAGCACAATGAGTGAATGTCAAGCACAGCACACACTGTATTGCATTAGAAACCTCTGTAAAGTTATCTGTTTTCCTCCATTAGGAATCACTGTCATTCACTCTTACCACCCCTACACAAACACATTCTAATGACTATCACTGATGATTCTGTATTCATAAATCTTTATTATACACATTACTGTATCTGTATGATTACTATCACTGCTTCACATTAATTTTCTTCAAATGCTTATAACAACAGAATCTTCTAAAGACTTTTCAAAGACTTCTAATAGATCAAAGAATTCAATAGCAACTATAAAACAATTCCTGTAAGTATAAAGTAGTAAGGGAAACAACAGAAAATTGCTTCTTAAATGTTGAGATATATCTATAGTACCAATAAATCCATCTTCTGAAACTAAACAGATCAAAGCCCTTTAATCCTACTTGCAACATAGGAAAATATTTTTTAAATTGCTGTATTTAATATATTTAATACTGGAGACCATTCAAATATAAACAACAATTACACCACTCCCAAATTATGGCACGTTTTAAGAGAAGTTCATTTACCATTGAACACTACATTATGTTGCTGGCTAGAACACTACCATACCTCCAATTTGTTTTTCTCAACAGCAACTTGTAGAGAAGGAGAGGATACCAAAGGCTGAAGAGGAGCATCAGAAGAAGAAATCTGTGGAATGCAGATGAAAAGTCAGAAGAACAAAGAGAAAAGAAGGTAATCAGAATTGACAGGCACAGGAAATAAACAAAACCCAAGCATTTCTGAGATATAATAGCACTTAGAAGTATGTTAACTAAAAAACAATAATGTATCAAATGGAGAGTACTGTTTTTTTTAAATTCCCACATGCAATTCCTAAAAACAAAAGTATTCATTACAGAATAATGTGTGATTTAAAATAGAATTCACTATGATATAAAATTTAAAATGTGCTCAGGGAAGATCATACCAAAAGTATTTGAAAAATAAGGTTCTCATATGGTAAACTTTTATTCAATGTTACTGCTGAAATACTAATGCTCTAAAGCATGAAGACATTGTTTCAAAGTAGCAGGAGAGCATAAATGAATTTTTGTTTTTACTTGTATTAACTATTTTAAGAATGGAAAATAAAACAGTGCTGAAATAGTAAAAGTTAAATTTTAATCAACTGTTTAAGAAAGAAAAAAAAGTCTGGGGAAAAAAAGAGTGGGTTCATGCAATACAACAGCTGAGCAGCAGAAGGACTTATCAAAAAGCAATTTATACACTTCCTTCTTTAAGATCAGTATGTACAAACACCATTTCCAGTGCTATTATTTGCTGAATTACCCCAAAGCATTATGAGACAATGTTATATATGCAGCAGAGGCAATTTATATATCAAAACAGATTTCATCTAAAAGCCTTTCACACATCTTCCTACCCAATTCCTACATGCATAGTTGATCACTTTAATGGAAGCATTATCTTTCTGCTCTCTTTACTGCCAAAATATAACTGAAATATGTTTACAAAATGCAGAGTAGATCTTTGGAGCCATAAAACTGACATCTGTATATACAGGCCTATCATATCAATAGTGCCTCTAAGGAACTGTTTAAAATAAAAGGTGCTATTATATAAAAGTCATTATGTAATGTCAAAATAACATTGGGAGGTAAGTCGTCATTCAATCTGCTTGTTATTAAGTTAGTTATGGTTGTAATTCTTGAATCACAACCCAAGACCATAAACTTTAGGGTTTTTTTTTTCTTAGCTTCAACACTGCTTGTTGGCTCTGTTATAACTGTGCAAATTAGCCATTTATTGACTACTAATAGAAATTACACATGGAGGGCGCCTGGGTGGCTCAGTTGGTTAAGCGACTGCCTTTGGCTCAGGTCATGATCCTGGAGTCCCGGGATCGAGTCCCGCATCGGGCTCCCTGCTCAGCGGGGAGTCTGCTTCTCCCTCTGACTCTCCCCCCTCTCATGTGCTCTCTCTCTCTCTCAAATAAATAAATAAAATCTTTAAAAAAAAAAAAAAAAGAAATTATACATGGAAGAGAAGATTTTAAAAGAAAAACTGCACCTTAAACCCTGGCTTCAAAGTTGCTTTATCCTATTGGATATTTACTTGCTAAAGATCTTTATTGCCACTTTATGTAGAAAATAAGAGATAAAAAAGCAGACAAATTCACTTAAGATGATAACCTGCATCATAAAAACCTCTTTGCCCAAACTCATGTTAACAGCTGAACATAAAATATAAATGAGAAATAGGTATATCAAAGCATGTCGAGGGTTACTAATTCATGATAGTTCATTGTAAAAGTGTTCTCCTTTTGACTGATTTGGCCACTTTTTTTAAAAACTCAGAAGTAGGAATATAAAATTATTTAATAAGTACAGAATTTAATGAAGCATTTTAATGCTCCCTTCCAAAAAAGTGTTAATACTATGTTTCAGCTAGAAAGAAACACAGAGGGTTGTTCAGTAGGAAAGACACTTGAAAAATTAATGGACACATTAACCGGTGAACAGATAAATTGTTGTATACCCATAAAATGAACTATTATCCTACCAATACAAAAGAAATTGTCTTAACAGTACTCACAAAAATAGGGATGAATTTCAGAAATATGCCAAAAGAAAGAAGCCAGACACCAAGTGTACAGAGGCACAGAGAAACCTTTTGGAGCAAAGGAAAGATTCTATATGCCCTCTGCGGTGGCTACATAGGGTTAGATATTTTTCAGGGAACTGTGGGTGGGGGATGGGGGATGGGTATTAATGAGCACTTGTTGTGATGAGCACTGAGTGTTGTATGTACATGATCAATTACTGAATTCTACTCCTGAAACCAATATTGCACTGTGTTGACTAACTAGAATTTAAATAAAAATTTGAGGGGAAAAAAAAAAGTCAATGAAATGTACCTTAAATTGTTTACCTTTTATTGCATGTAAATTTTATTTTCAATAAAATCATTTTAAAAAAATCAATGAGCAGGGTAAGATACATTATATGAGGAAGGAATGAGGAAATAGAGGTCAACATACTGACAATCAGAAGCAAGAAACACCACAGAACAGAGATAGATGAGGGAGAGTAAAAAAAGCAGGGGAGAAGAAAAAAAATACAGAGTCAAGAAAAACTAGGTGCTCTTGAGTATTGTTTCTAAATCTCTCAAAACCACTTCTCACCATCTTCTCCACTAAGCACTAATAGGAAATCACCATCATCTGTCACCTGGCTTAATCCTTTGGCCTCCTTGCCCCAAGTCTTGTTCTTCTCCAAACTACGACATTCTCAAATGCAAATCTGATATCTGGATATCCCTAGTTAGAAGCTTTAAATAGTTCATACATATTATATAAGGACAGAGCCCAAACTCCTTAACCAGGCCACAAGTGTCATCTACTTTATCTCCTACCCTCTCCTACCCTCTCTTGCCCTGCTGAACCCTAGCCATACACAACTCCCCCTGGTTCCAGCTCTCCAGTCTGCTTCTCTTGCTTCTGTCTTTGCTTCTGCTACTTCCTCTGCTTGAAATACCCACACTTCTATTAGTTCTTACCCATTCTTTAACTGTAAGTTGACACTACCTCTTCCAGGAAGTATTCCTTCATCACTCCAGTAGGAATTAAGTAGCCACTTGAGATACTCCCAAAGCATTTCTATAATACTTCCTTATTGCAGAAGTTACTACACACCATCTTGTAAAGATCCAATTACTTATCAGTATTCTTTGTTCAACTGACTGAAGTTCTCTAAGACAGACACTTTCTATTCTGTTCACTATCTTTAGCACTTGGCACTCAACAAGTTTCAATAAAAACTTGAATGTACAGGAAAATAAAAAGCAGGAAAGGAGCATCTCAGAGGAAGAACCAAAAAGAGGCTCAATCTCAGCAGTTATCACTGTCCTTTTTAAGTTCACTGCTTGCTAACATACTTTTCTGAAATCTCATATAAGTTATCTACATTTACTATCAAATTCAGAATTTATTTTCTAACTAGACATTAACACCATTTCACTGGATTCTAGTACTTTATAGAGAGAGAGCAGACAAAACTTTGACCTTAGAAAATTTCACTGGAAATTTTTGGTGTCAGTAAATTCAGTTTACTGACTCAATGTCCCTCTATTCCCTACTGTTCTCCTGCCCAACCCCACCATCCATGACAGAACGCACAGTGGGAACCCAGTAAAGATATCCTTTAGGAATAAATGAGTTATAGTCCTTTCAATTATTCTTAAGCTCAGAGGTTCCTCTTTAGGCCACCATCAGGTAACCTATATGTGAAGAAACTCCTAAAGCAATACAACTACATAAACTCACCTCTTGCAAAAGAAAAACTGATGAGGCAAAACAGGTTTCCAATTCCCACCTACCAGGATAAGGTGAGTAAATGCATTTTGAAATGGTATTATTATAAAAATATCAGTATGATTATTTGAAGGCCATAAGGCAAAATGTTTATCTTTTCAAGAAAAGATCACATTATTTTCCTGATCAATTTTTTCCACTACCACCCTTTTCAACAAAATAATGCTATAATAATAAAATCTGGTGTTCTAAAACACTGAAAAACATAAGACCACTAAAAAAGGCCTTATGGATTAATTACTAGCAATACACTGCTTCAAACCCATTTTGGAAACTTTATAAGTTTTCTAAGTGGAGATTTTATCATAACAATTCTCAAGTGGCTGTCTCATTAGCTTTCAATATCAGGATTACAAAGCTCAGGTTTTTCAGGAGTCCAGAAATCATCTTAAAAATATTATTTCCAGGGCCACCTGGGTGGCTCAGTCGGTTAAGCTTTTGCCTTAGGCTCAGATCATGATCTGGAATCCCAGGATCGAGCCATCAGGCTCCCTGCTCAGTGGACAGTCTGTTCCTCTGCCCCTCACCCTGCTTGTGCTCTCTTGGGCACGCATGTACTCTCTCTCAAATAAATAAAATCTTGAAAAAAAATGATTTCTAATGTCAATGTAATTGACACAAAAGCTGAAAATACACTTACTGAACTAATAAATAAATCGTACAAAAGACACCATCAATTAAACTCATCAGTATGAGGCTTAAAAGACTTTAACAACTTAATTAAGTAACCAAAGCCACCAAATATGTAGAAGAAGCCTAAATTTTAATATATTAACTTTAAAATCTTTGCATAGGTCACTAAAAATGTAGAAATCTGGAAAACTTTCAAAATATTAAGTCCTTTAATTGCCACATCAAGTCACTGGCAGACCATAATTAAAAGACTAAAATGTGGATGGATGAATCAAACAACTCAAGTCAAATTGTGCCAGTGATTTAAAGTCTTATAGTTAAGTTTGCATATTCACATTTCTTAATTACCTACCTGCTTGAAGTCACTTGGCACTGCCACCTTCCCCATCTTCCTTCAATATAATCATTACAATAGTTTATATTTATTAAGCACTTATGTGCCAGGCACCCTATTAAAAATGCAACATGCTTCATTTTATTTTACTCTTACAACAATACTATGAAATGTAGACACCATGATCATTCTTATTCCACACAAGAGGAAAATAAAATTGTAATGAAAAGAATTAACAAAGAGAGCCAACTTGAAACTGCTATTTTATACTAATCCTAACTCACTACCTAATTATTCATCTAAGTTTCTCATCCCTATTAAAGAACATCTAAAATTCGTTGCAAATCA